CACTAGCACCGACACTCCAGAAGCGAAGGGGAGTGTTGGGAACAAGTAATCTAAGCACGCATCTGTCGTGTCGAAACACCAAGTCAGAAGTGAAGCAGAGCATATCGAAGCATCGGCGAGTCAACCCTCGGATGTTGAAACAAGCGTCAAAGGTTACACGAAGGTCAAAGGTCAGCGACCTTTGACCTGACAAATGCAGCGCGACAGCAAGGACACACAACTGACTCGATATTGAGCAGTTGCCCGAGTCGCACTGTATCGAACCGCAACAGCAAATAGTAAAACAGTCATCAACTGTATCTCTTCGTATTCCTTGTACTCTTATATAAACCTTTGTATTTGCTTGCCTTAATTAACTTACTTTGCCCTCACATACCACGGCAAGGTGGTTCAAGGACTACATTCAAATGCTTCCGCTATTACATCACTCTACACAGAGTTTAATTATACCAAAGATCCTAAGGGCCTTTTTCAGCCCAACATTGTAGACTTAGAGAAATCCCATTTCCAAATTGGTAAGTTGGAGTTGGGAATTGGGAATAAGCTTGAGTGCTCCAACCCCTTCCATCATACCCCTTGGGGCTTTTCCCAACCATGGCTTCCATGGTTGGGGAACTAATAGGCTTGGAGCCTAGGTGGCAATTTAGTTTGGTTGGGAAAAACCCAACTTAGCACAATTGTATGGTTGTTTTAAGTTTGTGTGGATTGTAACAGCATCTGTCAAGTTCTGATCGGTTGGAAATCCAACCATTCAATCTTAACATTTTGTTGGGTTGGGAAGTTCCAAGCCTCAAAGTTGAGGTTTGGAATACCAAGCCAACCTTTCTCTCCCAACTCAACCTTCAACTCTCGTAGTCCGATTTCTGTCAATACATTTCTCGACCTAGACTAGGAAGAAGTTAGTTGGTGCGTTACACTCCTCCCCCCCTAGGTGGCAACGTCCCCGTTGCCTTAGGGTGCTTCTTAGGATGAGCACTACGAGCACGCCATGTCACATTATGACCAGGGTCAACACAATCCACCGGTTGTGCGGCAGCTCGTCGGGCCAGATCTGTCATGTATGACTGAACTGCAGTTTCAGTCATATGCTCTTCTGGTTCCCATGAGTTGTGTTCAGGCCCATAGCCTTTCCACTTTATGAGGAACTCTCGTACTGTCTTGCGGCCGCGTTGTCGATCACGATGCATCAGCACTCGCTCGACTTCATAAAACAGTTCCTCTCCCGGGATGATCGTTGGTGGTGGTAAGTACTTGCCCTCTGCAATGTACTTTTTCAACAGACACAGATGAAAGACGTTGTGAATCTGTAAAGTGTCAGGTAGCTTAAGCTTGTAAGCTACCACACCAACACGCTTGATCACCTCGAAGGGCCCAATCCATCGAGGGAACAGCTTTCGTGCTCCAGGGATTTTGAGACGAATGTTCTTCGTGCTTAACAAAACTTTGTCTCCGACCTCAAACGAGACTTCCCGGCGTTTCATGTCGGCGTAAGACTTTTGTCGATGCTGAGAGAGTTGTTGCCAATGGCGAGCAGACTTAATCGCTTCTTGTTGCTTGCCAACAAAGTCTTTAGCGGCTGGAATTTTCAATCCGCCGATCCCATGCGTAGCAGGAATTGTGGGATGCCGACCATAGTTCAGAATGCAAGGTTTCTCACGTGTACCTTCATGAACTGAATTGTTCACTGCGAATTCAACGACAAGCAACAACTCGTCCCAATCATCCTAAGTTGGGCCAATGAATGAACGAAGCATCTACTCAAGTGTCCGGTTTGTTCGTTCCGTCTGCCCATCTATTTGTGGGTGGAACGCCGATGACATCTTGAGCTTCGTCCCTAGTGTCCGTGTGACTTCTTGCCAGAACCGGCTTGTGAAGCGCGGATCCCTGTCGGACACCAATACACGTGGTAACCCGTGTAAGCGTAAAACGTGCGCCATAAACAATTTGGCCGTATCTTCCGCAGATACGTCAGTTGTAGTAGCCACGAAATGCACCATTTTTGTCAGACGATCCACAAACACTAGGATCGTTGTATGGCCATCGCAGGACTTAGGAAGGTCCGTGATAAAATCCAAGGACACGCTCTCCCAAGGTTCATTCGGGATCTCGAGTGGTTGAAGCAAACCACCAGGCTTCTTTGTGTCAGTTTTATTTCGTGCGCATGCGTCGCAGTGTGCCACAAATTGCTGGAACTCAGTGCCCAATCCCGACCACCTGTATACATCACTCAAGACCCACCTGGTCTTTTTGACCCCTAGGTGCCCTATGTACTCAGTGGCATGCACTTCTTCTAGAATATGGTTCCGCAGGCTACCTACGTGAGGTACAACGATCTCCTTCTTACACCACCAGAGCTCATGCTCCCACTTGAGCTCCTTCGTGTTTCGTGGGTCCTGAAACTAGGAGTCAATTTGATACCCTGTGCGGATGCGTTTCAGGAAACCACTGAAGGTAATCTCACTCACTCGAGCCGTTGCTAGGACACTGAAGCAAGCAGAAAATACTGCCGCATCCTCTGTGTCGTCTAGCCATGTTGCTGCCCCTATCGGCTGTCTGCTGAGGGGGTCAGCCAGGTGCGTTGAACCTGCTCGATATCGAATATCGAAGGTGAACCCACTAAGGAGTTCCGCCCATCGGGCTTGACGTCGAGTAAGCGTGGCTTGGGTGGAGAAGTAGGTGTTTGGACAGTGATCAGTCGTAACCACAAAGTCCACACCCTCCAGATAACATCGCCATGTTCGTAGCGCATGAACGACCGCCAACAGTTCTTATTTGGACGTTGTATAGCGCTGCTCTGCCAGGGAGAGCTTTCGACTCTCTAATGCCACTGGTCTCCCTTCTTGCAAGAGGACCGCCCCAATCCCAATCAATGAGGCGTCAGTAACAACCTCATAGGGCTTTCTCGGATCTGGTAAAACCAGAACCGGAGCATTGGTCAGCCTTCGCTTGACCTCGTCGAATGCCTTTTGGCATTGTCGTGTCCATTGCCAAGCACTACTCTTGAGAGTGAGGGCCGTCAATGGGGCAACAACGGTAGAATAATTCTGCAAGAATCGACGAAAATAGTTCGCCAGTCCCTAAAACGACCTGATTTGACCCACATCTTGTGGTACCGGCCAGTTCTGGACTGCGACAACGTTCTTTGGGTCTACTTTGAGACCATCATTTCCCACGATATGGCCAAGATATTCCAACTCGCGTTTGTAGAAATGACACTTCCACAGACGAGCATAAAACTTATGCTCTCGAAGTTTCCCTAACACCCACTGAAGGTGTCGCGTGTGCTCCTCTTCTGTCCTGGAGTAAACCAAGATGTCATCCAGATAGACTAAAACGAACTATCCAATCGCCTCGCGAAAGACATCGTTCATGGCTCTCTGAAAAGATGCAGGAGCATTGGTCAAGCCAAAGCTCAGCACTTGCCACTGAAAATGACCAAACGGCGATCGGAAAGCCGTCTTGGGTACATCTTCTTCGGTGATGCGCAATTGGTGATACCCCTGCGCGAGGTCCAATGCGCTGAACCACTGGGCACCCTGGAGTTTGTCGAACAGGTCCTCTATTCTCGGTAGGGGATACCTGTTCTTCACCGTTATCTTGTTCAGAGCACGGTAGTCTACGCAGATGCGTAACCCTCCGCCCTTTTTGTTCACGAACAAGATCGGCGCTCCGTAAGGTGATGCGCTTGGTTCAATTCATCCCTTCCTGAGATACTCCTCAATTTGCTGTTTAGCCTCCTTGTACTCAGCTGGACTGAGGCAATACAGAGGTCTAAAAGGTGGGATTTTTCCAGGCTCTACTGGAATGGTGTGACCGACACCACGGTCCGGAGGAAGGCCATCTGGGATGGGCTCAAAAACCTCCGCAAACTCGTCCGCCAGTGCTTTCATCTGAAGGCGGGAAATCCTCAAACCCAGGCATCTCGTGTTGAGCATTCTCAAGCTGTACCACAAAGAAGGTATCGGCTTGTCGAACATGCTGTCCGAACTCGTTTGCGAGCGCAAAACTCACATCAGGACGCTTCGACGTTTGTTGTTCGTTCGTGATCAAGTCCTTAGGCACTTGCCATTGGACTGTGTCACCATTTTTTAAGAATGAGACAGTATTGTCTTGGAAATCGAGCTTGATTTCATTCGCTCGAAGCCAATCCATTCCAAGGAGAAGGTTGACACCTGCGAGAAGGGGTAAAACAAACGCGCAGATCTCTTCGTGATAACCCTCAATCTCCATGTTGATCCGTGACTGCCCTTTGCTTGGGATGATGCTATCATCACCAAGGCGAATGGGGCAAGACGGTCCTTCAACGAGGATCGTGCGTGCTGTCACCCACTTTTTGTCAAAGAGGGAAACAGCTGCACCCGTGTCAACAAGGATTTTTGCATTATCCCCGTTCACGCTACCCGCAAGCAACTAATTTTGTTGATTCTGTGGGCGAATATGACATGCCACAATACTCATCGAAGGTTTGAAGTACACCTTGACGTTGTGACGAGCGCGTCCATGTGACTTAGATTTGGTCCACCACACATGGTGTCCCTTGTCCCACGCCGCTAGGACCGGCCATCCACGAAGCACATGGAACAATTCGCCTTTCACTGTGCGAGTCACCAACGCAACCGAAGTCAGGGGGTGCTCTTGAGTGCAACAACTCACAATCTCAATGACAGAAGGCAGAATGTCCAAGCCACAGAAAATAATTGAAAATTTATCTTGCATTGCTTCCATGGAATTTTTCTCAAGTGGGTACTATCGAGGATAAAAAACAGAGTTTTTATTAAAAGAAGAGGCAAACAAACAAGAGACTTTGCAATCAGCAAGCTTCTCTAGTTCTAATATATCATCATCACATAGCACATATGCCTCATCCACTCGATCTTCTCCTCCAACTAGGTACCCACACCCTAGTTGGGCTTCTGAAAATCCTTCTTTCCAGAAGGTCCAGCTCCGCCTGGCTTAGGCTTCCCAAAATACTTGATAGCATTCTTGTCACGGCAGTGCTTTTAGATATGCCCCATCCTTCCGCAGCCTCTACACTGCTTCTCGGAGAAGTCCGGCTTGTTAGGTCTATGACCTCCCCCTCCGTTAGGCCTCTTGGGCTGTGGGCCAGGGTGGTGATCATGCTGCTGGAAAGGCCTTTTGTTCCACCCGCTTCCACCCTTTGCATTCTGGGGCCGGTTCCCATGACCACCAGAGCCTTCAGCACGGGGCTGCAGGCCTGTCTTTTTGGGGCCAAAAATGTACGTGCGAATGATGTTGTCGGTTTTGATCACCTGCTCCTTCATCTCCTTGTAAGTCGTCCAATTGGTCATGCCGCCGGTCATGTGTGCCTCCTGCAGGTTGACAGGGAGGCCCTTCATGAAGATGTGCATCATCTCCTCCTCAGCCAAGGGCTTTTGGAGCAAACGTGCTGCGGCCTCAAACTCGACCGCATATTCCTGCACCGAACGGTCCTGACACTTGATACACTCAAGGCATCTGCGCAGTTCCAGGTCGGACTTCTTGACCATGAATGCCTCTTTCAGCGCGGTGCAGAACTCCGGCCATTCAAACGGTCCCTGTGCCTGCTTCTTAGCGCCATACACTGCCCTGCGGGCCACCTCGTCCAATGCACAAGTAGCTGCAGTGACGCGAGCCTCGGGGCGCACATTCGCAAGGATCATAGTGAAATCCACCAGGTCGAGCCAAGGCTGCACCTCCGTCTTGTTATGGTTAAACTCAGGCAGAGGCGCCGAGAGAGACCTAAAGGGCGAGGTCTCAGTTGGAGGTGGCTGATGCATAGCCGTCGCAGCACCTACCGCCGGGGGTGCGGGCGGAGCGGGTGCCGGCTGAGCAACAGGAGTGGGCCTACGTCCAGGAGGAGGTTCGTAAATACCCTCCCTCCTAAGATGTGTCAACTGCTCATTGAACTTGTTGAATGATGCTTGCAGATTCTTGCAAGTTTTCTGAAGCCACTAAATTTGGCGTTTTTTAGTGCCCAGGCTGCGACGGAACTCTGTAACCTCCTTCATGGTAATGCTCAGCCTAGCCTCGAGGTTTTGCGTGTGCTTCTTGAGTCCATCAATGGACGTTTGCTGCTGCAGGATGGTGATATTCTGAGTTGCCACCTTAGCCTTAAGTTGGACAATCTCCTCGGAGATAGGATAAGTCATGCCTTCACCCTCAGTGAAGTCATTTTCATCACCAGTGGCCTCCCTTCCACCGGTGTTATCCTCTTCACCATGGTTCTCAGCTTTCCCGACCAAGGCTCCGACGCCGACGATGTGCTGGCCGTCGTGCACATCGACCTGTGCGGGCCATTCCGCGTGGCTGCCAAGGATGGCAGCCTGTACTTCTTGTTGCTGAAGGACCGCAAGACCCGCTACGTATGGGTGAAGCCGGTCACCAAGAAGTCAGATGCGTTGCCGGCGTTCGTGCAGTGGCTGGCAGTGGCTGAGCGGCAGACGAAGAGGTCGGTGTTAATGCTGCGCTCTGACCGGGGAGGGGAGTTCCTCGGGAAGCAGTTCACCGACTTCGTGAACGGCAAGGGGATCGTCCACGACCTGACCTGCCCATACACCCCGCAGCAGAACGGCATGGCGGAGCGGGAGATGAGGACGGTGGTGGAGTCGGTGCGGACAATGCTGCTGCACATGGGCGTGCAGCACCACTGGTGGCACCTCGCTCTCCGGCAGGCCGTCTGGGTCCGCAACTGCCTTGAGAGGTCGGTGCTGCCGCCGGGGACGACGCCGTACCAACTGCTGACCGGGAAGAAGCCCGACTTGTCGCTTGCGCGGGTGTGGGGCTGCATGGCGCAGTTCCTAGTCACCGAGCAGCAGCGTGGTGGGAAGCTGCAGCCGAAGGCCAGGTGGGGCCTGCACCTTGGCGTGTCGGCAGCGAGCAAGGGCTGGGAGCTCCTCGACGTCGACGCCGACCGGGTGGTCACCACGTCGGATGTGGTGTTCTACGAGGAGCTGTCGCTGGCCGAGTGGAAGACGGAGTACGGGTCGGTGTCCGGCCGCTCGTCGCCCACCCCGCCCTCTGACACCTCGTCGGCGACGCTGCCACTGCTTGCCGAGGTCGGTGAGCTTGCTATTACGGACGTCGAGGACGTCCGCCCCCCTACCCCTCCCCCTCCGACCCCTGCCCCTCCCCTCGTGGCCGACCTGCGTGGGCTGACCTCGGTGTCGGCCTCCGGCGATGAGGGGAGTAGTGGGACGTCGCCTTCGGCCAAGTGCATCGCCGGTGGCCGACGTGACGAGCGGCAGGTCGACGTGGGATTGCAGTCGACGTCGACAGGGGAGGAGCAGGTCGAGAAGCAGGTCGAGGACCAGCGGCCGACAAAGGAGCAGGCAGCAGTGACGCCGACCAAGGAGCAGTCGGCGACCGGGCAGTCGGCAGGGGAGCCGACCATAGGGGAGAAGTCGGCTGGGACGCCGGCTGAGGAGCAGCAGGACGCCGAGGGCAGCGACAACAGCAACGATGGAGGGGACGCCGAGGAGGTCCAGCCAGGACCACGGCGTTCAGGCCGACTTCGGAGACCGCTTGACTTCTTCGTCCCCGCTGCCTTCACCACGGTGTACGACGTGGACGATGAGGCCGACGACCTGCTGTACGACGATGCCGAGGAGGATGAGGAGTTTCCAGAGCTCGACCCCGACATGCTAGCCGACCCCGAGCACCGTTGGGACATCTCGACGATGACGGTGAAGGAGGCGTTGGCGAGCTGGAAGGGCCCGGCGGTGAAGGCCGCCATGGAGGAGGAGATTCGCAGCCTCCTCAACATGGGAACGTGGGAGTTGGTCGAACGTCCGCCGGGAGTGAACATCATGAAGAACCGGTGGGTGTTGACGACGAAGTACCACGTCGACGACACCGTCAAGCGCGAGAAGGCGAGGCTGGTTGTGAAGGGCTTCACGCAGGTGTACGGCGCCGACTACGACGAGACGTTCGCGCCGGTGGGCAGCTACGTCACGCTGAGGATCTTCCTCAGCATCGTCGCCGTCCGCAATCTCAACCTGACGCAGCTCGACATGAAGAACGCCTTCTTGCAGAGCAAGCTCGACAGGGTGCTCTACATGTCCCAGCCGGACTACTTCAACGACGGGACCGGCCGGGTGTGCAAGCTGCTGAAGAGCCTGTACGGGCTAAAGCAGTCGCCGCTGCTATGGTACTTGGCGCTCAATGACGTGCTGGTCGGCGCCGGGTGGAAGAAGAGCCAGGTCGACGAGGCTCTCTACTTCAAGGACGGAAAGGACGGAGTGGCCTGCTGGGTGCTGGTCTACGTCGACGACCTACTTGCCGCCAGCAGTAGCGCCGCGATGTTGAAGGAGCTGAAGGAGCTTCTAGAAGCCGCCTTCGAGCTGCGTGAGATCTCGCCGGTGCAGAAGTACCTCGGGCTGGGATCGTCCGCGACAGGTCGGCGGGGAAGCTGTGGCTGCACCAGCAGGGCTACGCCGACAAGCTTCGTAGGCGCTTCATCGACGAGGAGCAGACCGGGCGCACCCCGAAGACGCCGGTCTCGGTCGATGCCTACGCCGAGCTCACGTTCGATGACGAGGAGGCACAGGAGCGGCAGGAAGAGGAGTACCGGCAGAAGGTCGGCTCGCTGCAGTTCGCGGCGACGACGACGAGGCCGGACATCGCCTTCGCCTGCAGCAAGCTGGGGAGCGGCCTCACGGTGAGGAGCGACCAGCACTGGCGCGAGGTCGACCGCTGCCTCGCCTACCTCGCCAATACGCGCGACACCGCACTGGAGTTCGGCGGTGGACCTGAGTCGCTGGAGCTGGTCGGCTACGTGGACGCCGACGACGCCGGTGACAAGCAGAACAGGACGAGCACGGGTGGCTACGTGTTCGTCTATGGAGGGGCCGCAGTCTCCTGGTCGAGCCAGCGCATCAAGTGTGCGACGTTGTCATCGACTGAGTCGGAGTACGTGGCAGCCACCGAAGCCGGCAAGGAAGGACGCCGACTTCGCTTCCTCCTTGCAGAGTTCCGGCAGCTGGATGCCGGGAAGCCGACCGTCCTTCGGGTGGACAACAAGTCGGCCATCACAGTCGTCGAGGGCATGGGGTTGACGGGCAACCTCAAGCACATGGAGCGGCGACAGGCCTGGGTGCAGCACATGGTGAAGCGCGGGAAGTTCTCGCTGAGGTACATCCCGACCACTGAGCAGCCGGCCGACTTCCTGACGAAGGCACTGCACTATCCGGCCTTCAACCGGTGCTCCGTCGCCATCGGCCAGGTGCGCTTGGCCGACGTGGGCGACGAAGATGACAACGTGCAGCAGTAGGTGCCATGCCCTCTTGCATGGCTGGTGCGGTGGACGACGTGTTGTGTGCTGGGTGCACGTCGACGAGCTATTCTCCAAGGAGTACTGCCGAGTGGACTTGGGGGGGCCAAGCGTGAACGCGGCAGGGGAGTGTCAACGGGAGTTGTGTGTTGGCCCCGTCCACGCTTGGGCGGAGCCGACTTCGTGGTGGGGTGTACGGAAGGTACAGCCGACTTGCAGTAGTGGGCGACGCCGACTTGGACGAGCTGGTCGACGGGGTTGGTCGACTTGCACGGCGCCACTGCAATACCGCCGACTTGGGAAGCCAGCGGCCGACTTCAACTGGTGGTCGGCGATGTGGCACGTCGACCTGGAAGTTGGCGCCGACTTGCAAGGTCACCGACTTGCAAGGTCACCAACTTGCAAGGTCACCGACTTGCAAGGTCACCGACTTGCAAGGTCACCGACTTTGCAAGTCGGCGCCGACTTGCAAGGTCGCCGACTTGGGAGGTCGCCAACTTCAAGAGGTCAGTCTGGAAGTCGGCGCCGACGTAGAAGGGGCGTCGACCTGGTGACGCCGACTTGGGTAGCTGACAACTGCACTGGTCGACCAGGAGTGACGTCGACCTGGATCTGGTTGACCGGAGGAGTGGTCGACCTGGTGAGGTCGACCTGGTGTGGTTGTCGACTTGGGAGGTCGACAAGCGCATACAGGAGCAGCTGGTCGACATAGTTGCCCGGTCGACCAGGATACCTGGGTGACGAGGTTCTACGAAGGAGTGCGACGGTCACCCAGGCGAAGTTGGCGAGACCGACCTCCATGGTGGTATCCCGAGGTCGTCGTGGCGGATCAGAGGCAGTCGCTAGCCCGAGGTTGACGTGGTGTGTGCGCTGTGCAGGTGACGAGACTTTGCATGCCAATCATCTGCGCGCACCTGCAAAGCGGGTGCACTGCTGTCTTGCGTGAGCAATGCTGGCACACCGTCAACCTGCAGCGTTGGCAAGCTGTCGACTTTGCACTGCTGTAGCGTGGTCGACCAAGTCGTGCTGGAACGCGGTCGACCATGCTGTGCTGGCAGTCGACCAACCTGAATGCTAGCTCTGATGTAGTCTTGCATTGCCAACTTCATTGAACCATTATTGACAACTTTCTCTAGTGAAACTCTTGCCAAATTGCCCCGTGAACTAGCAAGCAGTGTGAGCACTAGGAAAACGTCTAAGGACCAACGAACGCAGACATCACACAACCACACGTGCCTAGCCAGTACTCTAAGCTCCCGTTGTAGTAGTTATCTCCGCACGACTCCCTACTGCGGATGCGCTTAGGGGAGTGAGATGTGGTGCGATATCCCCTTTTGCCCCAGGTTGTCCCGCATCTCCTTGCTGCCCCATCGATCTGCCAGATCTGCAGCTTGTTCCCTGATTGCTGTTACGCGTGAGCCATCCAGAGGCAGAAACCCTTCTACACCCTGCTAAGGAAATGTATGTTTGCGATCCATACGTTGGGGGTTTTCTGCATCTACGAAGGTGAGCATATAGCGCGCGCGCACCACCTCGGGGTCTTCTTCAGGCTCGGTGGTTGGAGCCGTTGGTGCTTCTTTTAGCTTCGCATAACGTCTTTCTATGTCTGTTTCAGAGTTGCTCATTGATATCGTGGTTGATTTCGCCACCAATAGAGGTGCTCCACTTGTCACCACTGATCTTGTCGCCCTTTCTTTATGTGTTGTAGCTAAACGCGATGCCAAGAAAGGGAAAAGAGGGAAACAACAGGCGACCGGGGCAACACGACAGCATGAAGCTGTAGACGACGAGGATCACTTGCAAGTGAAAGGGCATGAGCGTGACGGCGAGCGGGGCGGCGAGCGTGACAGCGATCGTGACAGCGAGCGTGACGGCGATCGTGACGGAGAGCGTTACAGCAAGCGTGACGGCGATCGTGACGGCGAGCGTTACAGCAAGCGTGACGGCGATCGTGACGGCGAGCGTTACAGCAAGCGTGACGGCGATCGTGACGGCGAGCGTTACAGCAAGCGTGACGGCGATCTTGACGGCGAGCGTTACTGCAAGTGTGACGGCGAGCGTTGCGGCAGGGTTGGCGAGGGTGAGGGTGATCATGAGGGCGAGCTTGAAGTGAAGCGTGACGCATCCCCTCCTACTGCAACAGGTGCTCGACAGGATGGTGCAGAGAATGTTCTTGGGCATGGGAGGGGTGGGAGGGAGAGCCGTGGCGGGGAGTTCGAGGCTCAGAGGGGGGTGTCAAGGAGGGTGAAGTCACGGCGCCGAAGGGCTGGAAAGAAAGCCCCTTTCAAGGAGGAATCTTCCGATGACGATGAAAGCTCTGAGGAGGAGTCAGGGAGCTCCTCTGGGAGCGAGGAGAAGTACGACGACGAGGAGGACGAAAGTGAGGATGCGGAATCATAGTCGGATAGTGAGGAGGAAGACAAGAGGAAAGGCAAGGCTTAGGGTGGACGCAGAAACGGATCTAGCGGAAAGCGTTGTTGTGCTAGGAAGGAAAAGAAAGGGCGTAAGAGGGGGAGGCCCCAAGAACATGCACCAGCCAAGTGCTCAGAACGTGGGGAAACCCGAGTGGGTAAGAAGCGGCGTACTTTGAATGCCGATCTCGGGTTCTACAACGACATGAAGGTTTTGGGGAAAACAGTAGATGCTACAGCGGAGAACCGACGGGAAAGGATTCGCAAGAAACGGGGGGCTTCAGACGACCCCTATGCGGCACTCGCTTCAGGTTCCTTGTTGGGAAGGAATGCCCAGCCGGTTCGTGGGCGGAGTGGCATCAAAGTTGAAGTCCAGCGTGTTGCTGACCATCGTAAGCATGGAGGAAGTGACGATGAGGAGTGGGGCATTGGGCAGGGTTTTGAGCGGAGTAGTGGCATGCAGGTCGGTCTCCAGGGCGCAGCTGACGGTGGCAACCCTGGTGCTGGAGGTCAGCCAGGCGACGGTCGACCTAGTTGTGAGGCTTTTGGTAAAACAGATATTGGGCCTGAAGTCGCGGGAGAATTCGCAAGGTGCAAGCAAGAGGGTGGGGCAGCTGTATTCCCTTTCAGTAGTGCTGGTGCATCACCCAACGCGTCCATGCAGCAATTGTTTCAGGCATTGCAGGAAGCAAATAGGCAGATTGCGGAGCTGAAGGCAGCACCAAGGCCCCTGGGAAATTCTGCTGTAGTAGGAATGCCAGTTCCACCTCTGCAGGCGATATCCAGCGAGCTACCCTCCCAGGAATCTGAGCCCGTGTGTGTGGCGGAGAGTGCTGTACAAGGACCGCCCATCGCTAGGAGACATGGGATGCCATCTGCCATGAATTTGAGGGTCAGTTGCCCTTCCCCAACCCGTAAATCTGTTTCCCTGCATGCCTTGCTTCGCATCCATCTCTGTTTGCCCCGTTCAAAGCATGCCGTGCTCCCCAAGCATCTTAATTTGCACCTTCCCTGCATGCCTTGCATTGCATCCATCTCTGTTTGCCTCATTCAAAGCATGCCCTGCTCCCGTTGCATCCTAATCTGCACCTTCCCTGCATGCCTTGCTTCGCATCCATCTCTGTTTGCCCCGTTCAAAGCATGCCGTGCTCCCCAAGCATCCTAATTTGCACCTTCCCTGCATGCCTTGCATTGCATCCATCTCTGTTTGCCCCATTCAAAGCATGCCCTGCTCCCCATGCTTCCCAATTTGCACCTTCCTTGCATGCCTTGGATTGCATTCATCTCTGTTCACCTCATTCAAAGCATGCCCTGCTCCCCATGCATCCTAACCTGCACCTTTCCTGCATGCCTTGCAGTGCAGTCATCTCTGTTTGCCCCATTCAAATCATGCCGTGCTCGCCATGCATCCCAATTTGCACCTTTCCTGCATGCCTTGCAGTGCAGTCATCTCTGTTTGCCACATTCAAAGCATTCCTTGCTCCCCATGCTTCTCAATGTGCACCTTCCATGCATGCCTTGCATTGCATTCGTCTCTGTTTGCACCATTCAAAGCTTGCCCTCCTCCCCATGCATCCTAATTTTCTCCTTCCCTGCATGCCATGTTCCATGTTTTCCCTTCCGTTGAATACTTCATTAGCTCTACATCGAAAATACCAGGAATCGCATGTGCATGGAAGCTGACGACAACGAAATCAATTTCTACCCATCTTTTGAGAAGAGGATATTGGTCTTGCACGCGGTCATATCAGAGAACTACATAGTGTCTTTGATTCAGTTGAAAGAGGTCATGCAGGACCAGAAACGCATTGAAACTTTCAAGCGTGTTTGGACGCAATGGAAGAACGAGCGCGCCTTCTATATCAAAAGGGCGGTGCTCGAGGCCCTGGGGGTGGCAGTTAGTGGGCTGCGTGCATCAGAGTTACACATCGATGTGGAATTGAAGTGCGATCTTTGGGGCACCTACTGCCCAAGTGAGTATTCCATCGCACAATGCCTTGTATTGCATGATTTTGGGGGGGTTACACCCCCAACCCCCTTCCCTGGTCACTGTTTCTCTCTTACCCTTTCCCTTTTTCCTTCGACCGACCAGATTGGCCTGCCAATGCCCCACCTGTCCCCTCCCCAACCCCCTCCAAACCCAACTGCTGCAGCTGCCGATGATCCACTAAGCACATGGGGGAATGATGAGGAGTCCGGCCTCCCATTTGCCAACAAGTGCTTCTTCGATGCTGCCATGGATGCCTTTGGTGAATATGCTGTGGGGACAAAGTTGTGCATCAAGGCGTATCACATTGCGTGGATTATCATGGTGGTGAGCAGTTTCTTTCTCCCTCTCGTTGTCCCCAATTCATTGTGTTCTTCTACCCCATTCCTTGCTTGAGTTTCAACAAATGTTTCAATTAGCTTTCCATCCTTGCATGTCATGCACGGTGCTCCCAATACTTCACTGTTTCCCCCTTTGAAACATGATCCACAAATCCCTCCAAACTCCATCACTGTACAGATCGATCACGGATTGTCAAAGACAAACAAGACGACAATGAACCTCACCAACTCCCACCCGTAAGAACACCAAATGGGTGACAAGCATCCGCGCCCTTGTGAAAAGGGTGGTGAGGGATCACTTCACCCAGGCCAGTCCGACCTACAACCCCCGCATGAAGGGTTTCGAATGGGGGCCATTTGGCCTTTTTGTCCACGAGTCGGGCTTTGAGGAGTATAGGGCCACACCAAGCACCCGCACTCCGGTGGGGAGGGTGGTTGCTTGAATGAACTAGAGTAGAAGTTGCAACGAAGAGGAGCAGCGGGTTGTAAACAGTGCGAGAGGCAGAGAAAGGTGGAGTGGGGAGACACAGGGACGCAGCAGTGGAGGGGTAAGCTGCAGAACTGATGTGGGGTGTGCTGTGGAGGAGTAGCAGTAGGGAGAGTATGAGATGGACAGCAAAAAGGGAAGCTATGTTGAGCTGTGAGACCGCAGCGGAGCAGCGGGGTATGGCAGCTGTGAGAGGCAGTAGGTATTTTCTTGGGGGCAGCAATGCTGTGATGCTGGGAGGAGCAGGAGTGGAGTGTGCAGCAGTGGAACAGCAAACAGGAAATCAGAGTAATAAAAACAGAGGGTGTATGGGAGAAGGACCAGCAGCAGATGAAGTAGAGCAGTCACAGCAGTGGGATGAGCGGAGAAGGGGTAGCAGCGGGTCAAGCAGAGTAATGACAGCAGGGTGGGAACGGAAAAGGACAGCAGCGGGGGAAGAAGAGCAGCCACAACAGTGGGGGGAGCTCCAAAGAGGCAGCAGTGCGGGAAGCAGAGTAGACACAGAGAATTTGGGGAAGCGGAGAAGGGGCAGCAGGGGGAGCAGAGTAATCACAACAGTGGGGGGAGTGGAGAAGGGGCAGCAGTGGGGGGAGCAGAGGAGTGGCAGCAGCTTGTCAAGCAGAGTAGTTACAATTGGGGGGAGCAAAGAAGGGGCAGCAGCGGGGAAGGAGAGTAGTCACAACAGTGGGGGGAGCTCCAAATAAACAACAGCCAGGGGAGTAGAGTAGTCACTGAGCAGTGGGGGACGAATAGAAAGGGCAGCAGCTGGGGAGCAAAGGTTTCCGCAGTGTGGGGAGCGGAGAAGGGGCAGCAACGAGGGAACAGAGAAGTCACAACAAGGGGGGGAGCAAAGAAGGGGCAGCAAGGAGGGAACAGAGAAGTCACAACAAGGGGGGGAGCAAAGAAGGGGCAGCAGTGGGAGAAGAAGAGTATGTATTCAGTGGGAGAGGCGAAGAATCACAGCAGCGGGTCAAGCTTAGTAGTCACAACAGGTGGGGAGCAAAGTTGAGGAAGCAGCGGGGGAAGAAGAGCAGTCACAATAGTGGGAAGAAGAGCAGTCACAGCAGCCAGGGGAGTAGAGTAGACACAGAGCATTTGGGAAAGCGAAGAAGGGGCAGCATAGGTCAAAGCAGTTAGGAACTCCAGGCCAACTAGTGCGATAGGAGACGAATAGGGTATTGCAGCAGCAAGTCAGGTTACCAGTAGAAGGCAGTGACAATGTGACAGTAGGAGACTAGATGCATGGATATGAAGCAAAAGGAATGTTGTAGCGTTTTTAATTCCTATTTTTCTGATTTTTGCGAGCACACATCGTATGTCGGTGGGTGAGATCCATGGAAAAGGATGTTTCGTGTTGGGTCGAGGCAATATCGAACCTTGTGCAAGGTGTAATTATGGCTTTGTAGAAGGTAAAAAAACATACATGATGCTCTTTTCCAACAGTATAATTTACAGGCATTGACACTCTGCTAAACTATGTCAAAATCCAATTCAAACATGTAACAAAACACAGCAAAGCACCATTTTTACACTGCATAAAGGTCAATAGGTGTCGCCAACATGTCCACAACAAGGTTTCCAAAACCCCAATAGAACTTCCCTCGCATGTATTCAAAACCATTTCATAACCTGCCAATCATACGAAAATCATCTGACACATCATTTGAAAAAAGTTCGATACTTTCTTCTAAAAAAGTTTGAACCCCTACATTTTGAAAACATTTGAACAAAGTCTTCAAACACACATCATGTATAGTATTCAGATAGTTGATTTTTGTGATGTGGTGGTGTGACAATGATGGTGAGTGAATGGTGGTGTGACAATGATGGTTAGTGAATGGTGGTGTCACAATGATGGTGAGTGAATGTGGTGTGGCAATGCTGGCGTGTGAACAATGGTGTGCCAATAATGGCGTGTCAATAATGGTGAGCACTGAGCATGGGGTCTCAAAAATGGCAATAAGTACATCATGGCCTCTCATACTCAACCGACTCCCATACTCTCACTCCCAGCCTCTCACTACCATCCTCTCACTCCCATACTCTCACTCCCATCTTTAGTTGGCTTGGCACTTCACGCTTACAGGGGTTTACGTGTACGTGACATTTGATTCTTCTATGCTAAGCATTTTAACAACTTACATCACCTTACAGATGCTTCGTGCATACACTGCCATGTTACTGCCTCGTGATGGTCGGATCGGATGGGGCTGCATATTTGGGGTAGCCTTCGTTTTTTTCTTTTGCCGTGCCCGAGCAACTTCAATCTAATTACGAGTAGTGAAAGGTAAAGGTAAACTTACACCTTTGCGTGACCTAAAAAAACGTAAAACTGCCAACTAAGCTCCCATCCTCTCACTCCCATCCTCTCACTCCCATAGCCTCCCTTGCATCGCCTCTCTCATCGCCTTACATGATCACGATCATGCCGGAGGGATCGCACGCGAGGCCTGTGGCACTGCTGCAGTCCGGACTCTCACCACTCCACCCGGAGATGCTCCGCCCCCATGCTGCCTGGCACTCCTGCAGGAATTCCACTGCAATGAGTGGTAGCGGGTGGGGTTAGGAGGGCGAAGGGGGGGGGTGAGGCAGGATGGGAGGGACTCCCTTGGAAGGATTGGAAACTCTCCACAACAAACCCCATGGCTGGCATCGGTCTGAAGATGACTCACGCTCAGTGATTGCCATCCTGTGTCGCCCTTGCCTATGTCGCTCCAACTCGCCTCTCTTTTGCAACGCTTGTCGCAAAACTGACCCACATGGACGAAGCACTTATGGAGCCTGCTCTGGCCGACAAACATGTCAACACCGTGTGCTGGGATGGGAGGTCACCCACAGCACTACTGCAAAAAAAAATATATATATATATATATATATATATATATATATAACATTTCTCACACCTTGTGCCTGTCTTGGTGCTCTAGCAGGTCCCACGACCTTGCTCCCTGCCCCTCGACCTTGATCTCTGCCCTCCGCCCTTGCTCTCTGTCCTTTGCCCTTGCTCTCTGTCCTTCGCCCTTTGCTCTATGCCCTTCACCCTTTGCTCTATGCCCTTCGCCCTTTGCTCTCTGTCCTTCGTCCTTGCTCTCTGTCCTTCGCCCTTGCTCTCTTTCCTTCGCCCTTTGTTCTCTCCCCTTCGCCCTTATGCTCTCTTTCCTTCGCCGTTTGCTCTCTGTGCTTCGCCCTTGCTCACTGTCCTTCGCCCTTTTCTCTCTGTCATTCGCCCTTGCTCTCTGTCCTTCACCCTTTTGCTCTCGTCCTTCGCCCTTTGCTCTCTATCCATTCGCACTTTGCTCGCCCTCGTTCTCTGTACTTTGCACTTTGCTCTCTGTCCTTTGGCCTTTCTCTCTGTCGTTCGCCCTTGCTCTCTTTCCTTTGCCCTTGCTCTCTGTCCTTTGCCATTTACTCGCCCTTATTCTGTGTACGACGCCCTTTTCTCTCTGTCCTTTGCCCTTGCTCTCTGTCGCCCTTGCTCTCTGTCCTTTCGCCCTTCCTCTCTGTCCTTCGACCTTCCTCTCCGCCCTTTGCCCTTGCTCTCTATCATTCGCCCTTGCCCTCTGTCCTTCTTTCTTCCTCTCTGTCATTCGCCCTTCCTCTCTGTCCTTTGCCCTTCGCTCTCTGTCCCTTGGCCTGCCAGGCGGTCATGCCGCCGCAGGGGTGGCGCGTGTGGGGTGATAGCGGTGCAGCGAGCCAGCGGATCATACGCCGTAAGATACGCCATTTCAGTGGCAGCCAGGCATGATGTTGATGCTTGATGCGACTCTTCCGCTTGCCCGCCGCGGGGTCTCGGAGCGATTTCCACGCGAATTTCCATCATTGATTAAAATGAGACAGTCGCCTTCGAGAGAGACACTTGCCTTGAGTCGCTTCGAGAGGCACGGCCTTCACCATTGCGACGGGCGCGACAAGGACGGCGAGCCACCACGCCAATGCCCACGCGCGCTGCACGCGCTCACGATCACGTGTCGTCGCCGTTGAGCCCGCGGCAGCCGGCCCCCCAATCATCACAAAAATCCCTCATAAATTTAACCCTCACCTCCTCCTCAACCCTTGTCTCCTCGGGGCCCCACCCGCAACTGACTTTCGGCCTATCTAAGTGGTTCGCTGCCCCACCGAACTCTGACGCACGAAAAGCGCCCAAGCCGGTACTAGTACTTCTACGAGCGGGCTGCATTCCTGGCTTCCCAAACTAGGGTGAGCCGTCACACACCAACCAAAAGTTGTTGAGAGTGAGTTCCGAATGTTCCTAACACTTCACTGTTCCTTATTCGCATCTCAGGATTTTCATTATATTTAGAACAACCTTCACCACATTAATCTTTAGAATAACCTCCTCAACTATATCTTTTTGTTACCATTAGCAGAAATTGAGTGAGCGAACGAAGATTGCACTGATACAATGAGCAAAGGCATGAGGGAGTTGTTATATTTCAAAACAAGATGGTAACGGTAACGAGCGACAAGAGGGGTGCCTTACAGAGCTAGCATCGAGGTCTGGAATTGTCGAGGCGTAGGGTAGTGTCGCAAGTTACAGTACTAGTCGAGCCAAGTGGTTTGGGTGCGACGGTCGTGGTGGCAGGAACAGTAGTTGAGGCGAATGTCGCGAGGTGGTTAAGGGACACTGTTTGGTTGTGATGGCGGGACATCAATGCTACTAGACATGCTATCGGCCTTGTTGGCAGTAGGTTCCTTGACAACCCATCCACGTGCTGCATTGATTTGCCTCGTTGGTGACTTATGGTGAACTCATATTCCAATAGCCACATCGTCATGGCCTGGTTGATCATTAGCCTGGCCACTGGCTGGTGCTCTGTCATTCCCAGTAAGTACAATAAGTAGAATGTTATTGCCCGCACCTATAACTGGCCCTCTCCTTCGTAGGAGCTGTAGCTAGCCTCGGCTGGATTACAACTCCTATTGGAAAAGGCCATCACTTTCTCCTTGCCTTCTCTCTCCTTGCATAGTATTGCTCCCACCTTTGAGTTGCTCTAGTCTGTATATAGCATGAACAGGTCCTCCTTTATGGGTAGCGTTAGCACGGTTACCGTCTTGATTGCCTTTAGCAGAGCATAGAGCGCTCCTTGCTCCATCTGTCCCCATTATCACACTTGTTGATCTCTCAGCAGCCAGCTGGATTGCTACAACCACTCGAGCCACCTGAACGACCGTGGCAACAGGTGACGATGAATTTTGTCATGGGGCTGCCAACTGGGCCGTCCGGCAACGACGCTGTCCTCGTCGTCGTCAATCGCGTCACAAAGATGGCGCACTTCGCACCATGTCGTAGAACAATCATAGCCAAAGAAACTGCGCACCTCTTCATCTTGACCGCCGTGCGACTGCATGGAATCGCATCAACGATCACCACCGATAGGGACCGAAGTTCACGTCGAAGTTTTGGAAGGAAACGTGGGCGCAGTACGGCACAAAGCTACAATTCTCATCAGTATATCACATGCAAACGGACGGCCAGACTAAGCGAACCAATTAGACGATGGAGCATCTGGTCATGACAAACTGCCCCGACTCCGCTCGCTGGGAAATTTCACTCGTCATGCTGGAGTTCGTGTTCAACAATGCCCCGTCCAGCACGACTAATCACTCCCCGTTCTTCTTGATTTACGGCATGGGGTGGTGCCTAGAACGACTATACTTGACAAGCTGGTCCCGAGGTTACAAACTTTCGTGACAGAACTCCAGGAGATTCGCAAAAAGGCAGCTGATGCAATACGCAAGGCGAATGCTACTGTTTGAAAATACACCGATCTTTTGCGATGGGCTGGGCAGCCAGGGCTCCCGGCTCTAACTCTATTTGATGATTGCGTGCCCGCTGAGTTGGCAGTCCCTCTGGTAAATCGTCGAAAAAAATCGCCGAGTACTGTTGGTAGTTCCTGTAGTTCAGGCGGTACGGTTGCCAACAGTTTCTAAAAATCACTCGGGTGCTGTGTTTCTCCTACCAATGCTATGTCCATCGCGTAGACGCCAGCTCCAGCCGTGATTGCGCGTTTCATCGTGATGGCGTTGACGTGAAGACTTGGGCAATTGCCAGCGAGGTAGCTCGACCCAGTTACCGCTACTTCGCACAGTGCAGCTACCCGTCGTGCGGTCGATTCGCGGGTTATACCGTCGCAGCCAATCACGTCCCAGTAAAATGTCGTGCCCATCCAATGTCGTCGCGAGCATTTCATGTGTAAACCCGAAGTTCCCCCCGCAGCGGACTTTTACTCTCTCCACCTTCTCCCGTAAGGCCAGTGACGTGCCGTCGACTAAGCGCGCATCTATTTCCGGTAAAGTGTCAATTGCAGCTTCCGTGCGGTTACGGTATCAATTAAGTTGTGACTTGCTCCTCCGTATATAAAAATCTTCATTGATGTACCCTGTATTTTTCCATGGATTAGTACGGAGCAATCCGTGTCAAACATTATATATGTTGTTGTGTTTGTTTAGGCTACAGTGGGTTAGCCTATAGGGGGTACACAATTCTAAGGTTAGGTACTTGTACTGTTTTCACTGCTAGTCCATCCATTCCGTTGTTTCAACAATCCGTCGCTGTACCCTCCTTATTTATCCAAGCCAAATCGATGGTGTGAATCAATACTGTGACTCGGTGAGGTTCGGTGAGGTTGGGCGAGCAGGTTGTCTCGTCAGTAGTTGGCCGAACTCTACTGACTCCTGGAGCTTCCCTGCCTCTGAGACTCCCTCCCCTGCTCTGCTCCGTGGCGCCTCAGCTCCTCTGGACATTTGCTCTTGCGATGGCCTGGCCAATTGCAAGCAAAGAAGCGCCCCTTAAACGGCGCGGCAGCAACATTCGCCGCAACGGCGTGTACCTCGGTCTCGGACGGCGCAGAATATCGATCTTCTTGGCAAGCGCGGGGATCACGTTAAAATTCGAGAGGTTGCGTAGGATGATATCGTGCGAGATGTCCGGCTTCAAACCTCCAACGTAACGGTCCACCCGCTCCGCTTCGTGCATGTAGCCGATTTGCTCGCATAATGCGAGAAAACCGCTTGTATAGTCTTGGACCGACCCAAATTGTCGCCAAGTACGCAATCTCTGACACGCCGAAATAGAAGTCCCGATCGGCTGGAAGCGCGTCCGAAGCCCTGCGCACCACGCATCCCATGTACTGTACTGGGCGGTCTCGCAGAACAAATCCAGGTAACGGCTGGGCTTGTGGGCTCTCCCTCTTACGACGGCAGCTTGTAGGCGCGTGGCGACGTCACGATGACTCGCCACCAGTCCATGGTAGGGCCCCTCAGCAGCGAAACAGCATAGCGAATCTTCGCTGCGTCCGGCTTGACGTAGTTCGCGTCGAAAAAAACGTTCATCGTGAAGACCCACGATTGAACCGTCGGACCTCCACGTTGGCTGGAATCGAAGCAGGGTGGGTGCTGCGCCTTGAGTGGCATCGATACCATGAAGTTGTAGTTGCCACTTGTTGCCGCAAACTCCATGTGCCGACGGGCTTCACGAGGCCCTTGTCTGCTTGGTGCGGCCGTGTTCCTCACTGGCTGCGCCTGAGCACTGTCCCACGCAGTCATGTTGTGATGGTGTGCCTGATGAGATGACAATCGGCTCCTCCAATTGCGCGGGTACATTTGCAGGTGCGTGTGTTGGTGCTGGTGCATTCACCGTTGATTGCTGGCGAGCAAAGTCCCATTCCGCCGTGAGTGTCGCAATTTTGAGCGCCGAATCTTCAAGTTGGCGCACGAGACGGTCAAGTTGCTCATGTGTCAGTGTCTCAATGTTGAATTCGGTCATGGCGGGGGTGTCGGGCAAGCTCAGCGAGAGCCTCTATCGTGGCCGTGCGTGCTTACGATGGAGCACTACAAGCGGCTGTGCTTGTTCGCTGAGAGACGTCCACCCCCTCCAAAATTTGAGATTGTAGCAAATGTGTGGGTGCGATCCGACAAGAGATTGTAGGCTCTGAATACCAATTGAGCGAGCGAGCGAGAATTGCACTATTGAGGCAAATAATAGAATGAGCGAAGAATACATAGCGAAACTATAGTGGTAACAGTAATGCGTGGAAATGGGGTGCGCAACGGGCCTAGCGCCGAGGTTGGGAAAATGTCGAGGCGGAGGTCCGGAGCGCGGATTACCAACCAAACCGTGAGGATGGGTCGCTGCGTAAACAGTGGCGAGAACAGTGTCAACGCGAGTGGTAAGAGCTTACTATTTGGTGTCGTTGGCGGGAACAGTGGTGTACGCGCTGAGCAAGGACGCGAAGTAAGGAAAAGGAATTTTCCTTACACATATGAAGTATTGAAGGCCGTCTATGGAAACATATTCAAAAATTTAACGTGCCCAATAATTCGTGGGTATAGCTTAATGTTTTGATTTGAACACGGATTCTGGCGGGAGTGGGATCGATTCTTGCAAGGTTTCCTTTGTTTCCACTTCAGTTATCCCACGAATGTTTCCTCGCTGTCTGGAAACTCATACGAAATATAACCAGTGTTGTGAAAAAAACATATGAGTATAAACGCCTTGTCTGAGCTCTCATATGAGCTACATTTTTCTGTCTGCGAAAACAAATGAACAACAAAAATGAGTTTGAGATCTAAACCAACAGACTAAATTAGTTTAATAACGAGTGCCCTGTGGGCAACTAGTGCTGCTCGACACGAAGAACCTTCACCTACCCGGCTCGTCAAAATAACGGCCACGGTTTTGTGGGCCTTTCAAGATCATCCAAATGGTGTCACCTGTCACCACGAAGCTGCTGCTACCGGACGATTGGCGTATACACGACGCCTTCCATGTCAGCCTCCTTCGAAAGTTCGTGCCTGCCACGACCGACATAGCGTGCCAGAATGCCGCCCTGACAGCACGACCTGTCGAACAACCGACACTGAACCCGTCATGATTTTGGCACATCGTGTTTGGCTTGATGCATTTGGACATCACATGGATTATTTAATCTGTTGGACTGACCGCACAAGTGAAAACGACACTCGCGTGCCATCCGCCTCGTTTGACAATCCCCGCTCATTGGTGATTA